ATCTTCCTCATGGTAACTATACGGTGAGAGCTAAAAATATTTTTTATATGCTGATCAGCATTTGGCAGTAAACTGTGAAAGGTCTGAGGAATGGGGGTTGAGAACCACAGCATTAAGATATATTTTCAAAACAGCGTGCATGTCAGTACCTGCAGCAATATATACACATATAGTATACACGTATATATGTATATATGCATGTCACCATACACACTACTTACTGACCATGAGAGGGCAGCCGCTTTCCTCCTGCCACATCTGCCACAGGTGGTCAGGAGCATCACAGTGGTTTAGTGGGGAAGTGCAATAGGTGGTTTCTTTTTTTTTTCTTTTCTTTTTTTTTTTTGGTTTCTTTCTTTTCAAAAGAACTTAAAATATTAGGCAAAAATGAAACTACCTTGAAATGGAGAAAATCTGTACTTGCCCATGACTAATTTCTTTCCAGTTAATTTGTTATTTCACAAGCCAAAAATAATTTTTTCATATAAATACAATACCAAGATTGAGCATTAAATATAAAAAAGTAATTTTGCAAAAACAAATGTAGCAGATATACAATGCTGCAGCTTTAATAATAAACTTCTAAATAACGTAACTTTTAAGTAAATATTAAAAGTGACAAACAGAATTATTTTTATTCATAAAATTTTATGTCATATCCTTCCTATTTTACCAACCCACATCTGTACTCTTTAAAAACCTTTATAACTTAAAGAAATGCTAGATTAGCTAGGCACAATTTTTACGTATCTATATGCTGGACTCAGTAAGGCCAGGGGCCAGATTTCTATTCAAGTTCAACCTTCTGGAATAAACTTCTAAACCTAGAAACCCACAAAAAAAATGCCTATGAAGAGTTAACATAGATGACATAAATTCATGATTTTACTCAGTAGGAAGGGCACACAGGGCCTCACGCCAAGTCCAAGGGCTCTTAGTTTTAATTCACAGGCCTACCAAGTTTAGTTATGCCAGAAGGCTGGAAGGTGAGAGGGCCAGAGGCAGATGTGTGCATACAGAAATCCTGACAGGAAAGGAGATGACAGGAATCAGTACTAGAGCATGGCCAGGCCATTCAGCACAGGGACAAACAGGAACTATGAGCCCCAGCCACGGTATCAGGTTAACAACCATACTAACAGGAAAATCCTGAGGCACTGTAAGGTTAAATTATACTCACTATACTCTACTAAATAAGGTTGGGGAGAACACTATTTTAGAAAATGTTACCCAAAAAATTAATCTTTGAAAGTGTGGAAAAACAGACTTTGCATACAGGAAAACCTTGTACAGCTCTGGGTTCCTCAACAATAAAGACCCCACAACATTTTTCTGACTGAATGTGGTAATGTAAATCAGGCTCCCAGAAAGCATCTTCAAAGTATATAGGAGGTTTTTAATAAGTGGTGGTATTTTTCATAACCAGTAACAATTAAAAATAGGTTTCCCTTATCTGGAAACTTCACTTCTGTGGAATATCGAATTTCCTGATCATTTAAAATAAGAGAAAAATTACTGTATCTAGTTTTAAATTCTGTATTAAAAGCCAAACACATTACAAAAAGCATTATAACCTCTAACTATATAAAAGCAATCATGACATTCTTCCAAAAATTATCTGGAAGCTTAAAATATTTTCCTGATTTTGGATATCAAATTATTTGGTTTTGTCTTTAGAAATAACTAAGCATTTTGTCAGTATGGAAATGCTACATTAGACTCATTAGCTATATACTCTCTTTCAGGGTATATATACAGCCAAATCTCAAACAAAAATAACAGTTTTGAAAACATACACAAAACCAGGAACCACAATGGGTATGTAATTTTAATGCTTTGGTAACAGTTGGCTGTCACTGTCCTCTTTTGCTTTTACATCTACTTAGATGCCAATGAGAGTCCACTAAATTTAATAAAATGCCCAAAGAGTTAATTGATATAAAATATGAGACTTAGTGAGGCAGATCAATCACTTGCAGGTAAGTCTAACATAGCAGAATTATGTCACCGGTGTGAAAGGAGCTAACACTTCCACACAGGCATTTAGGCAATGTGCTGGGTGAGACAAAATCTCAACCTGCGGGTTATGATATCACCTCCGGTGTGGATCACTCAATGATAAATCAATATACTCAAGAGTACTTCCTACTGTTCTCCTCAACACGCAGTCTTAGGTGGGATGGAAGATTTGTGTGACAAAGGCAATCAGAGAACTAGTGAAGGATTCAAATTATGGTAGATTTTACTTATTGCATTTAATAGTAACAGTAATACAATGGCACCTAATTTACCAATGTGAAAATTATACAGTAAGCCTAGGCTTTCAACCAGGTAAATGAATTAAATTATATGCCATGTCTACTACCTAGAAGTTAAATCCTCTTGAAAATATTTTTAACAACCCAAAAATATTCTGATTAAAGATCCAACCACTGAACTAACCACTCCAAACAACATATAATTTTTAATACTAATATTATGAAAACAGTTATCTTCTCAGACAGAATTACAAAACTGTTGAACAATTCTGTTTCTTTCAATGAGCTGAATATCTCCATGTATACCCAAAAAGGTAGTAAACTCAGCTGGGTAGTGGGATCCTCTTGCTCATAACAGTTACTCAGGGACACACAGGTCACAAGGAGAGAGGGAAGGGCCAGTTTTAAATGTAAACAGTAATATAAAGAAAATTACCCACAAAACATCCCAAGGCTGAATGAATTCAACCAAACATTTAAAGAATTAATACCAACTCTTCACAAACTCTTCTAAAAAGAGAGGAAAATACCTACCAACTCATTCAATGAGGCCAAGTATTATCCTGATATCAAAATGAGACAGAGACATACAAGAAAACTACAGATTAGTATCAGTTAGATGCAAAAATCTCAACAAAATACTATCAAACCAAATCTAACAATACATTAAAAAATCATTCACCACAATTAAGTGGTAGATTTATTCCCAGATGCACGGGTGGTTCAATTATCACAAATCAATCAACATGATATATCACATCAATAAGAGAAAGGATAAAAGCCATATGATCATCTCAATAGATAGAGAAAAAGCATTTAACAAAGCATACACAGACAACTCAACACCCAAAAAGCAAATAATCCAATTAAAAATGGGCAGAAGACATGAACAGGCATTTCTCCAAAGAAGACATCCAGATGGCCAAGAGACACATGAAAAGATGCTCCAACATCATTACCTCATACCTGTCAGAATGGCTAAAATCAGCAACACAAGAAACAACAGATATTGACGAGGATATGGAGAAAAAGGAACCCTTGTGCACTGTTGGTGGGAATGCAAACTGGTACAGCCACTGTGGAAAACAGTATGGAGATTCCTCAAAAAGTTAAAAACAGAACTACCCTATGATCCAGCAATCACACTACTGAGTATTTACCAAAACAAACAAACAAAACCCCCCCCCCCCAAAAAACACAACCCCAAAACACTAATTCAAAGGGATTACATGCATCCCTATGTTTATAACAGCATTACTTACAATAGCCAAATCATGGAAGCAGTCCAAATGTCAATGGATAGATGAATGGATAAAGAAGATGTGATACACACACACACATATATGCACACTGGAATATCATTCAGCCATAAAAAATAATGAAATCTTGCCATTTGCGATGACATGGATGGAGCTAGAGTATAATGCTAAGTGAAAGAAGTCAGAGAAAAACAAATACAATATGATTTCACTCACATGTGGAATTTAGGAAACCAAGAAAACAAAAAATGAGCAAAGGAAAAAAAAAAAGAGAGAGACAAACCAAGAAGTAGACTCTTTAACTATATAGAACAAAACTATGGTTACCAGAGGGGAGGGGGTGAGGGGGATGGGTGAAATAAGTGATGGGGATTAAGGGCACTTGTCATGATGACCACTGGGTGATGTAGTGTTAAGTCACTATATTGTATACCTGAAACTAATATAACATTGTACATTAACTATACTGGAAATCAAAACAAAATTTAAAAAAGTTAGAACAAGCTGCAAAGTGGTTAAATTTTAAGTACCTTTGCTAGCTATGTTGGGATGTCTGGCAAAAAAGTATTATTTATTATTACTACTTTTATTAGGGTTAGAAAAACTCAAGAGAGGAACAGAGTTCTTTTTTTTTTTTTTTTAAAGATTTTATTTATTTATTTGACAGAGACAGAGACAGCGAGAGCAGGAACACAAGCAGGGGGAGTGGGAGAGGGAGAAGCAGGCTTCCTGCTGAGCCGGGAGCCCAATGTGGGACTCGATTCCAGGATCCTGGGATCCTGACCTGAGCCGAAGGCAGTCGCTTAACCAACTGAGCCACCCAGGCGCCCCACAATAACAGAGTTCTAACTTTAATTCTCAAATCATTTAGAACATGCCCTGACTTTGAAAATTCAAATACATAGTTAAGATAATAAAAAACACTCAACTCAGGTTTACTTATGGGATTTCCTGTAAACTTCACTATATTTCCATCACCATCTGTTTTATCATTTTGTAAGAAAGCTGAGTTTAAGACTCCACAATAGGTTAAATGTTTCCACATTGTGTATGAGCATTCACAGTGGCTCCTAATGCTTGAATCAAGAAAATTATCCATTTCTCATTAAAATCTAAAACTCACTATGCTTCATAATGCTTCAAATACAGAGTAGCATCTCTCTTTGAAACCATGGTTCCAACTTGCAATACATAGTGGTTTTTGTCCTTATTCTGACAGTTTGATTAAAATTGACACAGAGCTAGGGGCGCCTGAGTAGCACAGTTGGTTAAGGGTCCAACTCTTGGTTTTGTCTCAGGTCGTGATCTCAGGGTCATGAGATTGAGCCCCGCGTCAGGCTCCGAGCCCAGCACAGAGTCTGCTTCAGTTTCTCTCATCCTCTGCCCCTCCCCTCTAGTGCGCTCTCTCTCCGTCTAAAATAAGTAAATCATAAAAAAACAAACTCTACAGCAATTACTTTCCCAACAGAGTAATTGCACTTACGTCAATATCCTCTTGAGTAAAAGTTTCTGGATCTTCTCCCATCATGTTGGCTAAATGTCTCTTTCCTATGTTGAACTCTTCAATCTGCTTTTTAATAAAATCCACTGTGTAAGTTTCACGTCTTAAGGCTGCAACATTTTTCTTTGTTGTTACACCTGTGGTGTGCCTTAGCCTTAGTATCTAGCAGAAAATATAAACAAAAAGAGAAAAGATTTTAAGTTAAATAATGATCTTGTATGCCACGGTCTGTAAATGAATAAGGATGTTCAAACAGTTGTCTTTATTATAGTACTCAGTTGGCAAGAGTCTGGGAACAGGTAAAAGGCCTGTTAAGAAAGCTGTTAGAAATTGTCCTCCGCTCAAAAGCTTGCTTATAAAAGCCTCTCCTTACATAGTAGTTTAAACTACTGGCATTTCAACACATTAAAACCCAAAATACCTGTAAGTAATATGCTACCTCCTTATCTACTACAAACATCCACATTTGATACCGATTGATCAACGTCAACTAGTTGTGATATTTGACACAAAGGCAATGAAGAGTAAAATGTCACTCCCTTAAAAAGAGGCAAATGCACGTGCAGACAGTACCCAGCAAGCAGAAGTCAAGGGAAGGAAGGAGCATGTACTGGGGGATAACACACTTAGGCTACTGGTAGTCACCTTGTTTAAGGGTACAAATATGGCCCATCTTTCAATGCCTTAAAATAATAGCTTAGCTTAGCTTGAGACTATTCTGTGGTCCTTATTTTAAGCTGATACAGTGAAGAAACTGCTTCACTAAGCACTGACATGATTTATCATTAATTTGGTTCAATACACTAACAGAAATAAGGGCTTTCCCATCCTTTTAAACTATCAGTAATGATATCACACTTGCTGCTGTTGATCCTTTTATGCTGTAGCACTAGGAATTTCCCCTCAAGGCATTAATAGTTCACCTACAATAAAGGGTGTTAAAGAACCAGAAAAATATTTTCAAATGACTGTTCAGCCACATTCAGTAGCTGGATATAACTAGAACAGATATTTTTGGTCCTGGCTTTTCTCAAAATCTTAATCTGTGGTTCTCAAATTTCATCCCAGCCTCAACAATTTTAAACACTCTTAAGCAATTCAGACCTTAAGAACTGTAATTCTTAGTAACTCATTCACTTCCCTTTTCATTAACATAAATTCTCTTTCACGCATACCAACACCAACACCATCCCTGCCTCATCCATTCCCTAACCCTTTGAGAATCAGAGATTCAAGTAACTAATAATTTGTCACTATAGTAACAATAAAAAGCAGAAGAAAAAATACAGGAGAAATATTACAATAACCTATTAATAGTAAAAATGATGTTCTTAAACTCTCACAAATCAAAATAGTGATAAAATGATTTCTTGCTACTCTTAAATGAGCAAGATAGGGCATTTTAAAATTCCATGAAACTTTATAGTTTATTTTTCCTCAGGGGAGCACAAGGAGTTTCTCTCTTTATATTATTAATTGAGAATCTTAAGATGCTTTATAAAATACAGTGTCACTATCAATCAGTAAAAACATGACCCAAACTTGCTTACGTATAGTTAGCCTGCCCTTATACAGCCTTTTTGTACACCCCTGTTACCTCTCCCCACAGCCAGTGCCAACAGCACCAAATCCTCATCTCAGGAGTTTTACCATCTTATTATATTTTTACTTTTTCCAGGGTTTTGCTTCTGTTTCTTTTTTTTATGATTTCATATTTTCTTTGAATACGGGAAGATGCTGCTTCCCGTATTCAAAGTGAAGAGAAAATGCCTGTCTGCGCCAAGAATCATGGCAAAGCTATGGATCTAGAGGAGAAAGCAGCTGTCACTCAGTAGAGGTGATTTTCCCCAATGTTCCACTACCAAAAGGATGATTACGTTGCTGGTTTCGTAAGTCATATGACAAAATGTTTTGGTCCATAACTAAACAATCCATTTGTAATACAGGTGACCCCACTACACTTCCCACCAATCACCAACCACAGCCGTCAGGAGAAATGAGTTTCCCAGTGAATGTGGGAGACTTCCATCCACTGAAGTAATGAGTTCTAAAGGAAGAGTAAGATTAGGAGGAAAGTGATGAGTTCAATTTGGGGCATGACAAGTTTGAGATGCTTGATGGGCAGCCTGGGAGAGATAGGTGTCCTGGAGGCAGATGGCTCTGTGGGTGTGTACACAGGAGAGATCTGAGCTGGAGATGCCGTCTGTTAATAATCAGCATGGGACATGATGTAACACCATCAAAGTAGGGGAAATGGCAGGCATTAGTGTTAGACTAAAAACATCTATTTTACCATGCAAAGAAACAACACAGTTTGTGAGGGAAAGTAGACGGAAAGGTAAGATTACTTGTCTTATGACCTTTTTTTTTTTTTTATGAAACAGGACAAGAGATGGGTCTGCAGAGTAAGGGGAGACAGGTTTGATGGACTGAATACTTCATATTCAAAGAGCAATGATACAGTGGTTGTAAAGTAGACAGAACAATTAAAGGAAGAAAATAAGAAAAAAATTTAAGCACCCCTTTATACTGTATGTGAGCCAGGAGAACAACAGCTATAGTATTTTATTAATTATTTTCCTGTTTCCTATATATTTCCTTTGTATGTTTCAGTGGTACATTCAATGTACTAATTAGTTCAGAAGAGTTCTATCATCAGGCAAATTGTACCCTTCAAATTATCAAGTGTTCCATTCTCAGGCAATACTTTTACCTTGAATTTAATTTTGTTGAATCGTAATATTGTAACTTTTTCAAACTTCCCCTTGCCTTTCCCTGGAATATCACTGCCCATATTTTTCATTTAAATTTTGCATCACTAGGTTTTGAGTCAATCTGAGGTTTTTTAATACATGAGAATATCCTACTTAAATGGACTTAATAGATACTGTCTCATTTTCCACCTTATTTTATCTTGTTTTTATCCTTTCATTCCTGTTTTCTTTCTTTTGCTAGATGGTCTATAGTTTTTTTTATATTTGTCTCTTGATCCGGCGATTTAGACACCAGACAGCCTGCTTTTATTTTAGTAATGATTACCTATATGTCTCCGAATAAAATGTTTAAATTATTTCTTCTGCCAACTTCAGAAAGTAACACTCATTGAATTCTCACTTACTTACTGTTTTCTTCTTCGACCACAGAAATTATCTGTTTTTCTGTCCTCCATTCATATCAGCTTCTCTCAGTCTTATTATCTCTTTGTTCTGCATCCTGTATGATTTTTAAACCTTTAATCCTTGGGATTTTTTTGTTTTCTGTGGTGTTAATTCTGCAGCCACTCTGAATTTTTAGCTCTTAAATCACTGGTCTATCTCCAAAAATCTTTCCTTAACTATTTCTTTAATCATATCTTCTTGTCTTATCTCCTGTTTTATACAGCTCTCCCTAACCCAACCTTTTAAGAATGTCCTTGACAGTGTGAAGCAGTTATAGTAAAATAATTTGTGTTTTCTTCATCTCTCTCTCCCACACTGTTCCTTTACTTTTGTTCCGACAACATTTTAGTATCACCTCAAGCAAAGAGTTGATTATTGGCTTGAAGATTCATTTCTTCACTTGATTTAAAATTATCTTGTGTCTGTCTATATTCTTCAGACTTTGTGACATGTGGCGGCTTTCTTAGTTTTAACATAACTGAGGCTTAAAAAACTGTAAAAAATTTATTTTTGTTCATTTAGAAAGGAATTTTTTTAAAAAGTCCCTACTTTGCTATTTTTCATAATCTCTTTAGGATCTTTAGAATCTTTTCAGACATTTGTATACACTGCCTAAGAATATGACATCCGTTTTATTATAAAGCCATCACAGCATCAGTACCAGATTACTGAATAGATTTATAAATGTTCTAAATTATTCCAGCAATGATTCACACAAAAATATTTACATTCAAAAGAGTCCATTTCTCATTAGAACAATCTATTAAGTAAGATGATGCTGAATGTGAATCCACTAGATCTTTAGCTATGAACAGCCAGAATTCCTGGAAAGAACGTGCTTTGCTGATAAGTACAAATCTCCAACAAAATTTTCTACAGGTTCTATTTCCAACTGAAAAGCTATGACAGAGAATTTTCCTAACACTTTGTTTTTATGGACTGGTATACATACAACTTGACAGATTTGTTTCTTTTTTAAGATAATCAGTGGGTCAGACAACTATAATTTCAATCAAGCGGGTTGCCAAAGAAGCAGACACATCCTGACAGAGCAGTGATGTCCCAAATTTGGCCAAATGCCAGGGCTACACACTACTTTAATGATATTACGAGTATTAAGGAGTTTCCTTTTTGTTCAATTGGATAAAAATGGAACAAAGAAGAATCTGCCACTTATTTGAATAGAAAAGGCAAAAGAAAAAATACTTTGAGGAATAAAAAGAAAGGTAAAGACTAAAGTCAGATTAGAGAGAACATGGATAGAAACAATATAAGGACACCAAGTTAGAAAGGATAGTAACCTTTTTGAATGAGTTTATATTTTTATCAGCTAGAGGTCTCTGAATGCAAGCAAAAGAAAATGGCTTTGCTTAAGCAAAAGAGACATTTCTTAGAAGACTAACAGGGGCCCAGGACTATAACTTGAAGCAGGCAGCTAAAAAACAGGAACGCAAATGATCCACAACACATTCAAGAAGTCTGTGGCCACTAAGATAAAATACTATTCCAACTGTCCTTAGCTCTCTGCTCAAGATCCCACGGGAGGGACTACCTAATGGGGCTACTTTGGGTCAGATGCCTCAGATTATAGTTCTTCCAGACTGTATCCAGTGGGAAAGAACTCATTCCTCCTGAGAAAATAGAGTGCCCTGCTGAAAGGGAAATGGACAATTAAAAGGTTAAACAAGGAAATCTACTACACTACTTAAGCAAAATTCACCATTTATTTTCTTTACACAATCTTGTAAATTTAGAGCCTTAACATACTTACCAACCAAATAAAATATAGGGGCTTTGTTTGAATTGTGCTTTAAACAAACCAGCTATAAAAAATTGCTGAGACAACCAGGGAAATTTGAATATGGTATCAGATGATATTAAAATTACTGTTCATTCTGTCAGATACGTGCATAGGGGCATGGAAGCTTATGTTTGTTTTTTTAAAGATTTATTTATTTATTTGAGAGAAGAGAGACAGAGCACGAGTGGAGGGTTGGGGCAGAG